AATTAAATGTTTAAAAAAAATGTTCAACCAATTAAATAATATATTGATCGGGTTACCGGATGTACGAGTGCATCACACTGATGCCTAACTCTCGATGATGAAAGATTTGTTCCATGTCCTCTACGTTCGATTGGGAAGAACATTATCCTCTGGTAGCATATCTTTCATAAGGGCTAATAACTCTGAAACTTTTATCCGACCGTCCATTGCCGGCTTTTAAGTTGTACAACTTTAACACCGCAGACAATCTTGTGAATTTTGTACAACCATTATACAACGGTTTCTCTGCATCGCTTACCAACCTCTCGAACATTTTGGGACAATCGTTAAGATCTTCTTCAAGCGCTTCTGCAATTTCTTCGACTCGATCATAATCGTATGTATCTGTGCAATCATCATTTGAAATATAGGTCCTTGCATACCCCGATTCAACATTCTCGTTACTTTTCTCACCATGCATATTCCAACATGTATAACTCCTATCAATTCCATACCGAATTAAATGCGATGCCAACTGAACTGCGTCAACCCGGTTCCCATAACAGCAATACAAACAGGGACATGTCATACGACTGGGGTCTTTGGCGTGCGCAACAACAAACTTAACAAACTCGGAAACACCATTCTCGTAGTCTTTCGACAATCGGTTGGAATACATCCATGTCTTATCCATATCAACTAATAAGTGCATAAAACAGTACTATACTGCGTTTCTGTCAAAACGCAAAGTATACACGGAATGAATCCGTATCAAGAAAATGCAACATACGAAAGACAATTTAAGACAAATTCATCATAATATATACCAGTAATTTGAGGAAGAAAGTTACCTCTCAGATGTTTCGAACTCTAAGAAACGCGGAGAATGAGCGTCGTACATCGAACTAGGCCGGGAAACGCTGCAATTTCATAGAATGTTATTCAATATTTCGGATCGATTGTCGAAAGATATATACTATTTTAACATAAAGGTTCACAATAAATGTCACATATATATTTTCAATGTTTGGGAAAGCTATGACAATAATACAACACAAATATTAGAAATAGTGAATTCACAAAGTCAACATAAGGTTGATGCGATGAACTGATACTATTAAATAAATGCTTCACACGATTCACCATATTTTTAGTAACAAGTTCATATATCACATTGCATATGGAAATAGGATGAAATGGTTTAAGATACTCAGACTAGAAATGGGGCAGCATTGTTATCATAACACAAGTTAATCGGAAGTTGCTAACGGAAACAAGAAAATTAAGCATTAACATTCACGAAAGATTCAATTAAATGCGGATAAATGTCAAACGGAAAATTAAGGCGAAATATGTACATGGAACCAAGTCCGGACAACATATTTTATTCACAAAAACGCACATAAAATTAGTTCTGAAATCAATTGAAATGGTACTGGTGTTTGACAATTACCAAAACAAACTATTCTAAACGATTAGAAATAATTAATTGAACAATTTTCATGATCTTCTAATACCGGACAACCTTATACCTCAATAAAGAGTGGCTTGAAAAACCTCAACAAAAACGGTGTAACTCAATCGCATTAATCCACAAACGTAACAAAATGCAAGAATAGGCATCAAACAATTTTAAAGTTCAATTGACAAGGTATTCAAGAGTTCCGATATAATTCGACATCCAAAAGTTATCAACAAAATTTATCCGGATTCAACATCAAATTCACCAATTCACCATGATTTGATACCAACAGCCATGAACTAACATGAATCTAACATTTATACTCTAGACTCTTGTTCTAAAACAAAGATACTCATCAATCAACCTATTCCTCTTTTCATCCTTTTTACACTGTTCAAGAAATCAAGACTTATGCATATTCAATAATTCAAATATATCATGAATTTTCAAGAACAAAGTTCAACACAATTCAAGAATCATATAATTGTTTAACAAGTCAACTTCAAGAATCACACCCCAATATTCAATTCAATGTCAAATTTACTCATGAAATTAAAACTTTGTTCAATTCAACAATCCAAAGTTTAACCTAACTCATGAACATCCAACATAATTTCATTCCTAATTATCATCATCACCTTATAAACAAATGTTTTCCAAATATGTCCTTGTTCCACTCCTTAATAAAAATAATCATACCATCTAACAATGAGACTAACTATCCCCAATAAACCCCATTTTCACGCAGCCAATACCCAAAGTTATCATGCATAAGCCATAGATGATCTTTTCAATGAAGGATATAACTTGCCTTCTCAACAACAAAAGGATTTGAAGACTATTTTGCCAAGTTTGGTTAAGCTTGTTCAAGATGTAGGTTTTTGTTTAACACTAGTAAAATGTAGTAATAATATAAGATGAACAGATAATGGAACAGATAATGGAAGAAGATAATGGAAGAAGAAGAAACTTACCAAGATGGAGAAGACAGAACGAACGGCGGCGACGACTGAAGAAGACGGAACGAACGGCGGCGACGACTGAAGAAGACGGAAGAAATGAAGAAGACGAAGAAATGAACAAGTGAGGGCAAATATCAGATTTAGGGATTTTTAATTTAATTATAAAACAACCTACGAAAGCGCTTTTAAAAGCGCTTTCTAAGACCCATATATGAGAGCGCTTCTGAGGTAAAAAGCGCTTTCGTATGTCCCCCATATAAGAGCGCTTTAGAAAGCGCTTTCGTAGGTCCCCCTTTCAGAGCGCTTTTCAAAAGCGCTTTTATAGGGCCACCTATAAGAGCGCTTTTCAAAAGCGCTTTCGTAGGTTAGATATTTCAAATACCTATGAAAGCGCTTTCTGAAAAGCGCTTTCGTAGGAAACCCTATAAAAGCGCTTTTTTTAAGCGAATTTTTTTTAAAGGCTACGAAAGCGCTTTCTCTTAAAAGCGCTTTCGTAGATGCGCTGCCAAAAATTGTTTTTTTCGTAGTGTCCCTAGATATGAGAAATCGTCATTCCACTTCCAATCACCGCAGTGATACAAGACATATCTCAGTCACAAAGATTGTCTATAAAATAGGTTACAATCACAACAACCTGAACAAATAAAAATAGGAAGATCACACTTCCAAATAACAATATTTAGTCAAGACTTTTGACCAAGAACAATACTTAGAGTTGCTTAAAAGCTTCCTCCAAGAACAATACTCAACTCAATGCCTAAAGGCTTCTGAGTGAGAACAATAAACCAACCATGTGTATCGAGTGATAGAAGGGTGACAAACACTTATATAATACATAAGAGACTCTCAAAACTTAAGACTATTTTCTTTCCTTAATTTTATAATTGTTGAAAGATAAAAGTTGACACTTAAAATAACCTTTTAAACATATCAGGCCGACCTATTTGAATAAATATAAATAAATTTATTATTATTATATTATTATTATTATTATTATTATTATTATTATTATTATTATTATTATTATTATTATTATTATTATATTGTATTTGTACTTGTAATTAAAAATAAAAGATAAAGCTTAGGTAACTTGAATAAATTATGAAATAAGTTGAAAAAACTTATAAACAATGTAATGTTATTTTCATAAATTCTTTCACGTGAATAGTATCATAAAAGTTAATTTAATAGATAAACTTGAATAAGTAAAATTAAATAAGTATTTAGTGTCATTGATATTTTAATTTGTTAGTCAATTTAAACATTAATTGAATTATTTATTTATAAATATTTAAATAAAATAGACTTTTATATAAATTAATAGGCTAATCAAATATTTGAAAATGTCAGACTCAAGACTAAATAAATTTATGTTAGGTCATAGATCAGATTTAAACTTTAAATTTAACATAGCAAACTCAAACTTAACAAATTTTAATTCGGCACAACTTATTCGCACCCTTAAATACGAGAGACATTTTTATCAAAAAAAAAGTTTAAAAAAAAGTATAATTGCAACACACACACAAAAATTCTGAAATAAATGGGTTTTGAAAAATGATGTGCAAGAATTTCTTAGAGGATCACCATAACTATTTTGAGTAGAAATCTATGTGATTTTGGTTCAAAACTTTTGAACATTTATGAAAGTTCATATGTTCTTCCTCTTCTCATGACAACAAGATATTACTAAACTATTTTTGGGAGAGAGAGAGAGAGGAGATTATCTTGAATTTCAAATTGGGAATAGCATTCATACCATGCCATTACCATTCCTTTTTCTAGTATCCTTTCTATCAATGAATTCTCTTATCCAAAAAAGTACTCTTTCTTTCAATGGCTCATTGGGAACGAAAGAAACTATTTCCTTCATACACAAACATAGCCGTGTCATCGACGTTGCTAAAAGTTAACAAACTTACCAAAATCATGCAAAATTTTGACTTCTTACTAACCTACCACCAAAAACATAACCCCCAAAATAATAACTATAGGCATATTTTCAGAAAGTTCATTTCATTTAATCCACTATACATTATTATTATTATTACTATTATTCTTATTATTATTATTATTATTATTATATTTTAATTCTACTTTTTCTACTCCCTATCTGAATTATGATCCGAATTTTCCCCGATATCCAATCCAATTTTTAAAATAATGATTTAAATAGACTAACAACTATGTCAAAAGATGATTCTTATAGTAAAAGAATCCTAATCTAGAAAGAAGCAAATAAATCAACTATAGGTAAAGAAGACTAATCAAACATAGAGGTTGAATTTGGGCCCAAAATGGACCAAACATAGTCTATTCCTACACGAGTCTATCACAAGCCCATTATTAAGAAATTACATAAAGTTTGGTGCCACTTCCCTCAAATTCATTTCCTTCAACTTCATTACCATTAGAGAGTTAAACTTTCAATTATCACAAATGGACATTTCACCCTTTTGAAAGCCCTCTAAACTACCTCCTTTGGTTTGCTCTTTAAGAAAGTGAACAAATTTTCTTGCTCTCTAATACTTACAATCATGGCTTGTCTTTGAGAGAGGTTTCCATAAACAAAAACAAATTGCACACTAACATAGCAAATGGAGGTTAAATCCTCGGCGAAACGCCACTATGACATAACCATGTCAAGAAGAACAAGGAAGCAAAATGAGAAGCCAATCTCAAAGGATGTTTCAACAACAAAAGATGTCGCGTCTCTCGAAACCACCCTTCATGAGATGAAAGAAGGTAATGAGAATAGTAATAATAATAGTAATAATAATGATCACAAGAGCTTGAAGCAATTGATTGTTGGAGAAGAGAAAGAGACAACAACAAAGTGTAGTAGTAGTGATGAAGGTGATAATAGCAAAGGAAGAAACTCACTCGGAGAACATTTTTCGGAGGAAGAGAAACAACTTCAACTTGTTAGGGTGCAACAAAAAGACAATCTTCAAGGTTTGAAGTTTAAGAAATTGGTTCGTCGTTATGCTAAAGTTTTGGGGCATTTAATTAAGGCTAAACGTGATCCTCATTTAGGTGATGCTGGCAAAAAACATGTTTTCAAGTTATCAGGTTAATTAGAGAAAATTTTAATTTTGAGTTTTATGTACTTGATCTATTTTCTATATGTATTTGCTAATCATATATTTTGGTTAGCAAAAATGTCTTATCATTTGTGTATACTGCTTACTCATGCATTATGATTTATCCATATGTCACATTATGCTATGTGTTTGTAATTTTATCACTCAAATTACAAGTTCTTGAGTTTAAAATTTTACTGGAGTTTTCAATTTTGTTTATATAATTACTTTGAATTTTTGTATTTATATTTAGAGATTTTTAAGGTTGATGATTATTTGGAAGATATGATGAAGAGAATATACAGAGCCAAAAATATTAAGAGGTAGGCAATATTTTTGTTAAAATAGAAATTTACAAGAAATATAAAGTGTTAAAAACTAAGAAATTTTGATTAATAGTTTCAACCACCAATAAGAGTTAAATGGCCATTTGAGCTACCATCTACATTTAGTCTAGAGAAAGGTTAAAAATAATGATAATAATGCATGAATAAGTGATTATGCCGCAAGTGTGAAAGTAATGTTAGTTTGCCAATTAAGGATTGTATATTGTAGGTGATGGTTTAACAATACTCACACGCATCTTTGAAAAGATTGTGATTATTAAAGCATTTTTTAAAGAATTATATTAATTTATAGAAAATGCTTACATATATTAAAAAACTATTCTAAATTATATATAATTAATTGTTAAATATTTAGAATTTTATCATTTTATCATTTTATCATTTTTAAAATAACTTTTTATTTTTATATTTTAACATGCGCCCTTAATACAATTGGACAAGATTCTAACCTTATTTATTAAAAAAACTTTTACTGTATTTATTTTTCAAATAGATTTCACAAAAAGACAAAATAAAGAGCAAAATATCAAAGAAATAATTTTTTTTACATTTCTTTTAGTTATTATTAAAAAATGCTTTAATTTATTCGTCATTATTATAGTTTTTCTTAAACTATTTTTTTAATAAAAATTATTGATTTATAAGTATTAATAATTTATTTATAATATTATATTATGAGAAATATAAAAGAATGATGTTGTCCAAAATTAAACTCCAGATCAACAATTTATAATCATGTTCTTAATTATCACATGTTGACTTAAGTAACTCACACTACTTTTAAATTATTTAATTTTCTCAGTTTTAAAATGATAATTTATTTCAAAAATATTTAATGTGGATAGTAGAATTAGTTTACTAATAAATATAAAAAAAATAATTTAGTATATTTGATATATATTTTGCAAGAAATAGTTATTTTTGTCATGTGTCAGAATCTTCATTTTTTTTAATAAGAGAAAGGATTTTTGCCCGACAAAAAGAAAATTAAGCAGAAACTAATCTAGAGGTGGTAAAATCATTCTCATCTGCTTTCAAAATATGTGTGAACTCTTCAAGACAATCCTCATAGCTACAAAAAATATTGTTGCTTGATAAACTCATACTAACCATTGCATTTGCTAGATAATTAACCTCTCAATAAATATAAATAATCAAAACTTCCCACTCCAAATCCAACAGCCCCCATATAGCCGTAATTGGTAAACTACCATGCATATTCCTCGCATTATCCTTCATTGCATCCTCTACAATGTGCAAACAATTTAATCTGACCTGTACTTTGTTGAATTTAAAACGCCTGGCTACCTTGAGGCTTTCTAAAATTTCCCAAAGTTCTGCATTATACGGATCTCCTCTTCCTATAAATTTACAGAATCCTGCTAATCATTCTCCATCACTTCCCCTGATAACTCCACCACACCCAATAATGCCATTATGATTAGCTCCATCAATATTAAGACAAACCCACCATTCACCTGGTTTTTTCCAACCAATATTTGCACTAACAAGATGACCCTCCATGCTAATATCCTGAATTTTATCCGCTGATATATATAGCTTCAGCATTTGTTAATTACCAAATCCTAATTATACGGACGAGTATATCCATTTTCTACCCTTCGCCTTAACCATGTTATGCACCATCTCTTGCGCAACAATTATATCTTCATGTATATTTCGTCCCGGTACAAACCCTGTTTGGTAAGGAGAGATAACAATAGTAATACAATCTTTTAACCTTTCAACCACAACCTTGCTCATCACCTTATAAATCGTATTACATAAAAAGATGGGTCTAAATTGTGTAATAAACTCTGGATTTCTTACCTTGGGTATAAGGAAAATATTTGTTTTATTAACTTCAACTAGCTTTGACGGATTTCTCCAAGCTTCCTTAATAAACTCGCACACCTGCTTACCCATAACATACCCGGATTTTTGGAAAAACCCCGCGGGAAACCCATCAGGTCCCGTGGCCTTCCATGGATCCATACTAAACACTGCAGCTTTAACCACTTCATCCACAATATTGGCTCCTAATTTGTCATTCATCTCCGCACTCAAGGATGGATAGGTCTCTTTTGTTGTATGTCAATCCCTGCTCACTTGCTCCATTGTAAACAGGTTTTTGTAATAACTATTTACAATGCTTCATCTCAATCTCTTAAGATACCTCCATCATACCATATTGATTCAATCACAACAAGATCACATTAGGGCTTTTGGTTCTCCTCCCTATCTTTAGTTTGCTCTTTGAGGAATCACCAAGCACCTTGACTTGTTTTTCTTTTGTGATCATGCATGTTTTGTTTTGACTTTCCTTTTAATTAATAAAATGCAATGTTGGTTTGTCTTACTTGTTAATAATGTAGGTAAAGGAAATGAGGCTTAGCAAGTTGATCCATGGGTTCATGAGTTTATTTCCATGCCCTAGTCAATAAAGCTTAAGAAATTCAAACCTCACCACTGAAGTTGTTTTGGAATAAATGGCATGGCAAGGTTTATTTTGGTTTACCACATTTCAAAGTTATCAAGATTGATTCAAAAGTACAAGGGGTTGTTGGAAGAAGTTGTCATGGTTGGACAAGGCTTTATTCCCATTGGTCACAAGTGCATAGTTCTCTCAATTCTCAAGATATGGAAGTGGTTTTGGTTGCTATGAGTTCTCATTATCATCCTCAAGAAATTCTATCTACAAAGCAAAAGTGTTGGTACAAGAAGGTTGTTTAAAATTGTCAAAGTTCCTCAAAGCATTTTTTTGATCTAGGAGCTAGGGTTTTGAACTTCAAAGAAGCATATCTTGCTCATATTTTGGTATTTTTGAGTGATTTTAAAAACATCCTTATCTTCAAAGGTTATTAACAAATCACTTCAAAAGTTTCAAATATTTTTCATGTGGAAGAAACTTGATGATGAAGAAAGATTACAAGTCCTCCAGATGAACCCCCAATTTCCCATGTGTGACTTCAAATGATCATAACTTAGTAAATTTTTATCACCTTGATCCCACTCTTTTTCCAAAATTATCTTGAGGATGTGAATTTTATTCCTTCTTTTATGTGCAAAGTGAGAAAATGGATGGAAGATGCCCTAAGGATACAAAAGATTATAGGTCATTTCATGATTTTTTGCCAACTTCAACAATTCATAACTCTCAATTTTTGGAGATTTTGAATTGTTCAGGTTTCAAAATGTCATTCAAGAGGTCTATCTCATTCCATCTTTATTTGGTCAAGAGCAAATTCCAAGTGGAAGGCCATGTTTGAATGCAAAACATTATAGGTCACTTTTGAAGAAAAACTTGAAATAATTCTAAGTATGGAAAGTCAACCTCTTTTTCCCAACTTTGACTCATTGCAACTTTCAGCTCAAACATCCATTTGATTCCATTCTTTTCCCATTATAAAGCTTGTAATCTCATCTTTCTAAAGCTTCAAGAATCATGCCATAAGACCCCTTGAGCTGAGAATGCCATTAAATTGAACTTGGTAACTTGAAACTGAAGTTTCTTCAAAAGTCAGAATTTGGAATCCTTGATTTAGCTTCTAAACACATTTTTTCTGCGCGTTTTTGCTTCTAAACATGTTAAGTGAACTTCCAGAAGTGATTAGCATAGAAAAATGTGCATTTTGGATGAGTTTTGATCAAAATAGAAGTCACACTTTTCTTGTTTACAACTTCACACGATTTCCCTCCAAACTTCATCATTTCACACGCTTGAACATTCCATTTGATTCCCTATAAATAGAGGGTCATCCCTCATTCATTTTCTCAAGCTTGAACAACCAAAATCACCCTGCCAAACTCATTCCATAACTCACTTTTCTGCAACTTTGAAATCAGTGTTCAAGCCTTTTTCAATCCATTTTTTCTATCAATTCACCTTCCTTGATCTTCCCTAAAGCTAACCATACAATTACCTTCAAGAATCGTGACCTATATTGATCCATAAAAGTCCAGTTTTAGAGCTCTGCAACTAAACTTCAATAGTTAGATTTCTCCATTAATTCTTCCAAACATTGATATCATTGTGAAGCTCTCATTTCCCTGGTTCTAGTCGCAACATTTGTTTTTAACTATAAGCACGTTTTGACCATGAAATTTCAAATCCATTTTCAAAACTTCTCTTCCAAATTGCTTGAGCTACAGTTATTTTAATTTTTTCGAGAAGGTGTGGTTGTCTTCGTCTTGATGAGACTAAGCGAATGGCATAGGTCTCACGCTCTAACTTTATAGTTTATGTGACCTAGTTTTGAGACTGGATGGAGGTTGAAGATGACCAACGTGTCATCCTTCAACCAATGAAACAACGCCATTTGTTTTTTTTTTAATTTCTGATTTATATTTGATCCTATGCTTTATTCAATAATGACCATGATATGCACAGTGCATCAGATCCCTTGAATTTGATTACTAACCCATTTTGACTCTCATCCAATGGTCCATATATTTTTGACTTTATTTTTTATTTCTGATTTTTATATTTAATTATTTTAAACTTCAAAAAATCATAGAAAATTCATTTTTGGTCCAAAAAATCTGAAAAAATTATGAAAAATATTATTGATTTTTCTCTTTCTGATTTCTATTTTTTTACAATTTTATTTTGTGTTTTGATATTTTTTATAAATTTTTATTTTATTT